CTGACTTGAGCATTGAGTAGAGTTCTAGAATACGACCCTAAGTCTTATTCGAATCCGAGAAAATACGAACATCGCTTGTACACCTAGAGACAAAACGATCCCTGTGACATTTCGGACCATCAGTTTTCAGATTCGGAACTGGGGGTCTACTCTCGATCTCCGTCTGACATCCGTCCGAAACAATTACTGCCAAATAAGCATACGCGTGATGCGAATTATGCTTCATACTTGATACTTGTCTTTTAATTTTGTCGAATATTACTTATTTGACAGTCATTGTTTCGGACGGATGTCGGACGGAGATCGAGAGTAGACCCCCTGATGCGAATCGGACGAAGTGCGCAAATTAAAATATCAGAATATGATAGTGCAAAGGGTACCCCGTTTCGCTATATGTATCACAATAACTTTTTTAGAAAAAAAACCGACCTCAAAAGTTCGTGGAACGTGGGATCGTGCATCTATTTGCCAAGTTTTATTGAAATCGGTTACCGGAAAAAGCGCGAAACCGGATTCAACCCCTCGTTTACCACCCTTACAGGTGGAATATTTTCTTCAAATTTAAATGGGACCAATACAAACAAAAAACCAATACAAAGCAAAGCAACTTTCCAACAAAAAAAAGAATCTGTTTCTGTTCTTTTCACCAAAATCTCTTCATTAATGGTTCGCGTAACAATACATATTACACACACAAAAAAAAATACAGACCAGTTGAGAACCTTCTCCTTTTTGAAGTCGGTTAAAAAACCAACTACGGCCATGTAGTTTCCAAGCGTTTCTGTGTAGTTGACGCCTACTGCTTCTCCATAAAGAAGTATAAATAACATAATGGCTAAATTCAATGATTTACGTTGTATATTTTCAATTCCGATTTCTATTCTCACTCCTTCACTGTTCATGCGGTCAGGCTTTGGTATGCACTTCCTATTACTGTTCACGAAAGTAAATCGTTAGCTATTTTTAAAGTGAGAATTAAAGAGCATTATTTATCTCCTTTTTTGCCCCGCGGGGACAGAGCCGGGGTTATGTGGGACTGGGCTGAACCCTGAAGGGGAGCAGCCCGACCGCACTAAACCCCCGGAGTGTTCCTCCTCTCCGCTGTAGGTGGGGGTACGGGTACGCTGTTGCACTTGTCCGCGCCCCCACCAGCAGCTGGCCGCGCCCTGCGCAGCCCCTCCCCGAGAAGGGAGACACATCGGTCCCCCGACTCCGAATGTGAGGCTCGCCGAACACCAGACGAGCCTTCCATCCCGGGCCCCTTTATGCTGGGCAGTGAACTCCCCCGAGTCCGCTACCCAGGGGCCATGGGGGGCCAGGACAGCATCCACTCAACTGTGAAGTTCAGTGGCTGCTCCTCCAGCCCCCGCGGCGGATCTGATGACAGGCTCCGCCGCAACACCTAACGCGCTTCCGCGCGTACTCTCCGAAGAGAGTCCCTTGGAGCGCCCACCACGGGCCAACCGCCCACATTCGGCCGCGGAGGATAGGACGAGCGGCAACGACACACCGACACGTCTCCTCCCCCGCGGCCCCGCCGCCACTGCGTCGTCGAAAGCGGTGCAGCCCTGCCAGTGTCGCGGAGGATTATTTATCTCCTGTTCCATCCGTATCTTAGGTATTATATTATAAAATATGTATTTATCTAAGTATTTATACATTTTATAACAATTTGATATTATTATATTATTTTTATATTACATTTTCTTTTATTTTGTTGTGCACGTATGCCCGTTCTTTTAGTTATAGTGTCCTGTATTTAGGTCTGCAGGAAGAAATTTCTATTAGAAATAAGCACAACCTTTTGTTTTAATTTTCCTTGTATTCATTGTGACTTGTTGTAATTTTCCTGTACAATAAACTATTAAATAAATAAATAAGTAGAATTAATATGAACACTACTACGGCACAAAGAAAAGTAGTGATATTTTGTGCGCAGTACTTTTTAAGTACTGTCCATGAACGGGTTAATATTGTTTATTGATGTTAGTTTTTTTTGTCATTTTTTCACTTTCTGTGAATTAGCCTTAAAAACATTGAAATTACGAATAATTTCTATAGGCATGGCAAAAAATCTAATCGGTCATCTTTTTTAATGATTGATCCTTTTTTTCTGAGCTACGCAAAAAAATTTTGATTTGTATAAAAGATAATGATGATAGTTTTATGTTGGGCCTCAAAACTAAGACAAATGAGGATTAAAAATAACATTTAGATACTTATTTTTAAAACTAAGTAAATGTTGGTTGTATTTGTATACTAATATTATATTAATTGTAATATAATTTGACCTGAAAACAAAAGCAAGCAAATTGGCTTCTGGTTGCTTTATATTAACCTAACCTACTGAAAGGAGGGCGCAAACAAATAACCAAGATTTATTAGTTGATCAATATCAAAATATATACTGATTATAAATGTCGTCAATAGTTAAAAGAGCAATAATAAAACAAGAGGATCAAATATTATTTTAGAATACCAAATATTAATTTAGAAGGCTTAAACATATTGATAATCTACCTCGAATGCAGTTCATTTATAACGTATCCGTATATCAACTAATAGGGGAGAAGCACCAACTTAGAAGCTTCAGAACTTTAAATTTAACCTTAAAGTAGTCTTTATTTCAAGATCTATTCAAATTCTTCATATTCGAACCAAATATTTTAAGCTACGGTACGTTACTAACAACTACTAACTAAAACAGTTACTAACTGGGTGATAAATCTGTCATAGATTTCTCATAGATGGCGCTACGACTAAAAAGTCGTTGAAAGACCAAGTACAAAGACACGACGCAAGCACATAGAAAAATTCGTGAGGTCCGTTGGTTCGTTCCGTGGCTTAGTTGGTATAGCGTCTGGCACGGTATGCAAGAAGACGTCAGTTCGAATCCGACCGGATCGAAGGAATTTTTTCTGAGTGTTTTTTCTGAGTGTTCGATCTTTGTATTAATAATTATAACAAACTAGTGGAGTAATTTCACAAAAAATAATTGAATATCAATTCAATAAAAATTTAATTGATCTTATTGTTTTACCATTTTCTAAACTAGTCAGCTGATTTTTTGACAGTGGTGCCACTTTATAGTTAGCTATTAAAACATGAAATAAAAATGGATGGCACTATAGAAAAAAAAGAGATAGTCCACTATCCGGAATTAGGCAACTATCCGATATCATGGTGTATTTCCCCTATAGATAGACCAATGAATATAAAAAACTAATTTGTTTATTTAAAATAGTGCACATTTACAATAGATCAGTTATATCTTTGGGGATCAAATAATATTATCCTATTTCTATATTTTACAGTCAAAACAGGTTTATTAATCATCAGATGAATTAGTAAAACAACGCGTATAACTGATGACACGTTTAAGGGTTTAAAAGGTATTTATTATTGGTTCAAACGTTTGTGTTATTCGTTATTCATGTGGAAAATTATTATGTTGTGACTAGGATAGAAACGCAAATACTTCGATGGTTTATTCATATGGAAAAAAGATAGATGGGTTAATAGAACAACGGCATTTTATGTAAAGAGTGTGGGTTTAATATTTTAACTTGAAAAAAAACACAGCGCCCTGGTTTTTTCTAAATTAGTTTTTTTTTTTCAGAAAAAGTAAAATAGTAAGTAAAAAAGTAAAATAACAGAAATAAAAAAAACACTAACTTTTGTTTTAAGAATATATATGTGAATGTTTATATATATAACATGTTTATTAAAATCAATTACCATGATAATTATAACAAAAAATTAATCTTCATTTGTGATGTTACTAGTGTTACTACTGTTACAGGTGTTACCCACACTTGTAATGTCATCCAAAGTTTCTGTGTCTTCGTTTCCTTCATTCAAACCCTACCGAATAACTTTATATAAGCGGCTTGCTAATAATTCTATGTAAATGTTGCTGTATAAGGGATATGTGAGACGTGGAAAAAAAAATCAAAAAATAAATAAAATAAAATAACTAAGTAGTGTTTTTATCGGTAATTATCAAAGTAGCGATGCAACAGTAATCGACAGATTTAAAAAAAAAAGGTAAAATGTTAGAATCCCCGCATTTTCCCCACAATCCCTCAAAATGCTCAATGGAGTTGAAATTCTCTGCAATTTTGGGAAATTCGCCACAAATTGACAACACTATGAGTGTTGCCCATTTATTTTGAGCAATTTATCTATGAAGAATAATATTAACAACAAAAGAGGAAATGTAGTAAAAAAATACAATTGTCATATTGTCATATTTTTATTTTCATACTTTTAGAAAAAAACGTACTCCAGACAAAAAATGGTTCCTTTTCATGTTTTTTTTTTCACCTCAGAAAAAAAACGTTTTTTAACAACACTGTGGGTTTCCTTTCCCACGTGAGGAAAGGCGAATCTCGTTGTGGACATGTCAACCAGATTAGGAATATCGTTATAAAAGGTCAGGCTAAAAGCTACAGATACAAGTGTAACGAAAAGAGGGAGCGAAGGAGTACGTCAGGAAAGAATTGTTAAATATTTCGTTCTTATATCGTTCTTGCATTTTTTTTCTTTATGAATTCCGTTACTAACATTTCTATGCCTGTGTCGCTTTTTTGAAAGTCTATAATGGAGATCCAGAATAATAATATTAAGTAATAATACGTGCCAAACAACCACACAAATTGCTTGGTCTCTAACTAGGAAATTCCCTGTACTATGAGTACCAGAGTAACGGAAATCCCTCTGGGGTACTTCCCAGAATACCCAGACCAGAACCATTTCATTTCCCAGATTGGTCCTACCGGGAATCGAACCCATGACCTCTGCTTCCAGCTTCCACAATGTAAACCGTTAGTTCACGGAGGTCAATTTTATATTAAGATTACTAATTATATAAATATGAACGTTAACATATTTTAATTTAAATTAAATTAAAGACTTTGCAAAAGTTAGTAATTTTAAATAATTCTATTCTATATATTTTAAATAATTATATATAATTCTATGTTATAATTAATGAAAGGTATTTAATTAATAAATTAAATGCGTAACTAAATTATATTTTATATAAGTTAAGTAAACAGTTATTGTGAAATAATAATGTTAGTTATGCTATAGCTGCTAAGAATAATTTATGATTGAACCCGTATTTTGCATGTTTGGTGTAACTAACTGTAAATATAAGTAGTGAATTTTAATTAAATAAATAAATAAAAATTATTTCATAGAAGTCACCAACTTGTTGATCAAAGTGGACTGATGATCTGGTGAAGATTGCGTGAAGATAGCACAAGACCGGTCGTTGTGGCATTCTTTGGGAGAGGCCTATGTCCAGCAGTAGATGTCTTTTGGTTGAAATGATGATGACGATGAAGACTTATTGATCAAACTTGAGAATCTACCTGTATATAGTAAAACACACACACATGTCCAAATATAAGCTCATAATTTAATACCTACACGTTCGCTTTTTTAGTTTCTTTTG